AGTGAAAATCACAATTCGATAATCTAGAAATACAATAGATATACAACGAAGATTTTCGAAGATAAGGATGAAGAAAAAATTCATTAAACACCTCTAAATGACCTCATTCTTTGAACATGCTATATATCATAAATTTGGTAGGTGTTTCCCATCACTTTAAAAAGAAAAAAAAAAAAGAGAAAAAAGAGTATCCCTACCAAAACATGCTTGTTGAAGGTGTCTCTTAATCTCCATCAACATAATCTATCATCATGTATCTACGTAGAAAAATAAGAGTGTTTTCATATGCCTTATGAATTTTGGAGAAGTAAAGTAGTGTGTCCGTTTGATGCATCAAGGGAGATAACGTTGTTTCTCAGTGGTAATAAATGATAGGGCAAGGGTTAACTTTTAGAAGGACGTATGGCTAGGTGATGTACAACTAATCTAACTATGGGGCAAGATTTTAGACTTCTTATCTTTAACACAACTGTTTTACTTCTCATAAGTGAGACATAACATGTCTGTATCGTACTAGATAAATATTCTTTCATCTATCTAGTAAGTTTAGCCTTAACTTTCATAAATTGTTCAATGTATTTATAGTGGAAACACTAACTTTGAAAATCCAAGGATAAATATGAATTCATCATTTTCCTCTTTAACATAAGCTTTCTTGATTTTTTTTTATTGTTACCCTTACTTTAAATCACATTATGATGCTTGTATTCACAAAGAGCTAATATGATACTTTCTGTGATTTGTGGTTAATTAACTGTATTCGATGTCGATGTTTTATAAGCTATTCTAATTATTAATAAAACTTATCTTTATCCTGCATGCAAAAAAAAAAAAATCAAATTAAGCTTTACACAAGTTCATTATACATTATTAACTGTTTATTAATCATTATTCAATAGGCCAAATGGTTTATGGACATTGTTCAATTATGTGAGTTTAGGGCTATGGTAGCTTTTGTTGGTTGTCATCTTTTCATTTTTTGAAAAGTAGGATACAATTTTATAAAATAGATGTAGTTCATATAAATCATCAAAAGAAACCAATGCCT